GCAAACACCTTTTTTTTTTTTTTCTAATAGCTGTACAGTGTGTTTGGGTTTCAACCCAGGTGTTATAAAAAAGTCAAAACGTTAAAAAAAATTAACGTTTTTAAAATAAAAAATTACAGTAAACTGAGGTTAATTTATTAGTGTAGCCTAAGTGTACAGTGTTTATAGAGTTTACAGTCATGTACAGTAATGTCCTAGGCTTTCACATCCACTCACCACTCACTCACTGACTCTCCCAAAGCAACTTCCAGTCCCAAGCTCTATTCATGGTAAGTGCCCTACACAGTGAACCATTTGTTATTTTTTATAATGTATTTTTACTGTAACTTTTCTATGTTTAGATACACAAATATGCACCATTGTGTTACAATTTCCTGCATTATTCAGTACAGTACAATGTTGTACAGGTTTGTAGCCTAGGAACAGTAGGCTATACCACATAATTTAGGTGTGTAGTAGGCTATACTATCTAGGTGTGTGTAAATGCACTGTGATGTTCACACAACGAAATCACCTAACGAAGCATTTCTCAGAATGTATCCCTGACATTAAGCAATACAAGACTATACAGAGATGTGCATCTGTTTATGGAACTACTTTATAAATAACAATTCTACTGTCCAGTGTAGGAAGGTTGGCTGTGGCCCATCGGGGTAAGATTCTGGAGAAAGAACTAGCCCAGCTGGAGGCCTAACTTCTGTTGATCGTTGGGTTCAGAATTCCAGAGGAACCTCAGCAATTTGTGTGTAATGGAGCTGCCTTGGTCCAGGACAGGACTGCCCTGGCCCCCCACCCTCTGCTTGTGAGAATGATGGTGATGCTGGTTGTTGCCACCTCCTGGAGGACAGCCTGGAAGAGGTGGCCATAGTCAGAGACTCCTGATTGCTTGGCCACGAGTTCTGCAACTCTGCTTGGCGTTTCATCATTTTTCCAACCTACTGCTAAGGCTCAGAAAATATAAGTGGCCTCCCACGTTTGCCTCTGCAGGACAAATGTCCGCTTTAACTTTATTTTACTCTCATAGCAGCGAATGAACTAAAAGAGAAGCCAAGGGCCCGCCGCTATCGGAGCGCAGCTTCACTTAGCGCCCCTGGTGGCCACTTTTCGGGCCGGGTTGCCAAGTTCCGACACCACCTAGCAACCGTTACCACGACAACACAACTCGCGCTCACGCACTTTGAAACGCGGCTCCCCTCTGCATCCCAGAAGGCACTGCGCTGTCTATAAGCTTTCCGCTCCTCCTCCATCCCAACATGCAACGGGGCTCGGACGCCCTGCGTTCGTCCTGACGATAATTATAGAAATGCCTTAATATCTTCCCCGGTTTAAACGTTAAAACTGTCTGCAATAGACTCGTAGGTGGGAAATAGGGCAAAAGAACAGTCTTAGTGATTTTTTTTTGCTTCTTAGATCTTGAGGAGGAAAGCCCCATCTATTCCTAGACTCGCTCAGGCACCGTGTTGGGCAGCCTGCGCAGACGGCTGCGTGGGGGCCTCGGGGCCTTAGGCAGGGCACACGAGGGAGGAAGTGGCGTTGTCAGTCCGCGCTGCGCTGGTAGCCCTTTCGTGGAGCCATGGGGGGCTTGGAGAAAAAGAAGGTGAGTGGGGGTGGTGTTGGGGCGGAGCAGCAGCGGGGTACTCGGGAATTGGGAAACGGGCGCGACGGAGCCTGGGGCCTACGCCTTTTCTAGGCCTTGGTCCCTCGTGGGTACGGAAACGATTGGGATCAACGCGACGGGAGACAGTCGTGAGAAGGGGTCCGAGGATGGGCGAGGAAGGCAGTACTTGTCCGGTGACATCCGGGAAAGAACCCTGGAGTAGGACTGTAAGAGAGTTGGTAACCAAGCATAGATTCACCCGGAAAGAACAGATGTTTACTGAGTAAAGAGGGATAAATGTTACATAAAGTTCTCCATTACGTCGAACTCATCGTCTCGAAAACTTACCGCTTTGCTCTTGGAACAAGGCCATGCCCTGGACACTGGGGATGAGACGTAAACAATCACATGTCGTCCCTGCATTCTCCTAGCTCATTTTCTAATGGGGAAGGTGAACACTAAAATAACCAAATAAAACTATCAAAGATTGTTAAGTGTGTTGTGAAGGAAGCAGACGACAGATAAGAATGGGGCATATAAAAGGATACTTCAGTTAGTATTGTGTTGGACGGTGTCTCTGAGTCATAATATTTAAGTTGAAATCTGAAGACTAGAAGACCTTGGATGGGTTCTGGGGCACAGGAGTGCTTACTGAACAAGCCTGGCAGGGGAAACTAAGTGCCAGGGCCCTTAGTTGGGAAAGGCTTGCTGTGTACAAGGAATTGGAAGGACACCATGATTGCTGGGGTATAATAAACCAAGGGAAGAATGGCATCTGCTGAGGTTGAGGTTGGGTAGGGACCAGATCATGGAAGTCCTGTCAGCCACAGTGAGGAGCTTGAACTTTATTCTAAGTTCAGTAGGACTCAACTAAAGGGGAGTAACATGATCCGTTTTTCAGATTCCTGTTGCTGTGTGAAGAATCATTGTGATGCCATGAAAAGATTGGGGAAGGGATAAGGGTGAGGAAGATGTAGCTGCCTCAAGTGTTTCCTTTAGCTTGAAAGTTTTTTTTGCCAATTTGTGTTTAATCCAGTACACTGTTGAGTACCCAGTAAGAACAAGTGATTGGAACTACAAAGATATAAGATGGAAAATCTTCTCTAGTGGCACAGATGCAGATATATAAACAAATCATGACAGTTTTTGAAGCTGGGTTTCACAGCATTTTGAGCCAGATAAAGCTTTGTTTGAGCCAGATAAGTGCACTGGAAGGGCTGTCCAGTGCACTGTGGGATGTTTAGTAGCATACCTGACCTCAACCCACAAGATGCCAGTAGCACCCAACAACCCAAAATGCCTAATCCCCCCTCCCCCCCGGGGTAAAATCACCCCACTTAAGAACTACTTATCCCTTTAATGTTTAAAAGGATAAGCATGGTGACAGAGGCATGTGTGGCATAGGCAGTAGAAAACACTTTTTAATGAAGACAACTTTCTGAGACAGTCTGAAACTCATTTTTGTATCCCCAGGACTTGGCATGGGCCTGATTCCCCAATAGGCAATTAATAAATGTCTGAAGGAAAGAATGAATGAGGGGTGTGTTTTGTGGCTGTAGGGTTGTCCATAAACATACCCCTCAGGAGGCTACAGGTTTATTTCTAAAAGCTGTTACCTGGCCATCCAGGCCCTTGCTCTCTGACTCCAGGGGGAGATCATGTTTGGAAAGGACATGCTTGGTTAGCATTGCATGGTGCTTGGTACAATGCACTGCTACTCTATCAGGGAGAGAGATGTGAGTGTGTGGCAGCATCTTGGCATCATAGACATCCAGATGGTTGCTCAAGACGATATGCTCCTTAGGAGCAGGTAGAGACTAGGCCTTTTATTTTTATTGCCCTCATAGCATATAGCTTAATGCTTGAAACATAGTAGAGGTCCTGTTATTGTCTGTTGAATGAATGAATGGGGAAGGGGAGAGGCTTTGTGGTTTAGAGCATGTATTTTCAACCAGATGATATCGCCCCCAAGGGAACAAAAATTGATTGAGGGTGGTCTTAGATATTACAATGGTTTGTGACTCTTTAAAGGGCCACATTACATAAACAGATCTATGGTATATCTGTGGTATTAACATTTTATGGGGCTGTGAGAGGGGGCAGTTAAGGGGGGAAAAGTCTAAAAAGGCTTCTGCTGGTGGGGTTAGGTGATTATAATAAAAATTGAGAAATCTGTTTAGTGGATTAGGCACTCAGGTTCTGGACTCAGACCTAGGTTTCACTCCCAGCTCCAGCTCTTAAAAAGCTGTGTGTGACCTGGGCAGGTTATTTCACTGAGATATCCCCTCCCATGTGAAATGAGAGTTTAATGAAACCCATGTCACAGTGTTGTGGGGATTAAATGAAATAATGTGTGGAAATGGCTAATCATAATGGACAATACTAAGAGCTACTACTAAGTGCTTGGCACAGCACTTGATCCGTAGGAACCTCACAATTCCTAGCACCATGCAGATGTATGTGTCCTTTATGTTGACCACTGCAAGGCCGGTACAAGAGAGCTCATTCAGGTGGGTAGGCTCCCTGGCTACAGCGTTTTCTATTCC